TTCTGAAGTTCTTCCCAAGTATGTCCTAGGGGGAAATGTCATTTTCATCTGAGATCTCGTGGTCAGTCTGTCCTTGAGCATGGCAGCAAAGTGCATTAGGTAGAAGACTTCACAAAAGGAGGATTATGTAAATTATTTAAATTATCTTTCTGCTTTTTTGAATGCTGTGTCCTGCCTCTGATAAGTACCTCATATAGGGGACCCTCAAATCCAAACCCAAAAAAGATCCCATTAAGTCACCACTGGCATCTTGACCCCTGATGTTTAATTGCAGGCACTGCCTTAATTCCCAGGTGCAGTGTTACAGGCATTTGCCAGGCTGTGCAGGGACTGTGGGGAGAGTCCAGAGGGGAAAAGTCCCCCATTGGGAAAGTCTAGAGATTCCAAAGTCACAAGCAATCACCTGTACATTACAGAGTAACAGCAGCTTTGTGTACATCTGAACTGTCTTGGGGCAAATGAAAATAACACTGTTTTCCAGGTAGGAAGTTGAATCACTGTCATGGATGTGTTTAAATGGGGAATAAATTAGGACCTTCCCTAACTTAAATGCAGCAATTTACTGGATTGCCATTCATTAATAATACATGCAGCCAATAATTAGATCTCACTCATTATCAGTCTTTTCTCATATTCAGGGCAGTTAACTCTTAAAAACCTTACCCCTATTAGCTGGGAAGATCCGGTACCACAAAAGTGCTCTCGTGTATCTGGCATAGCTTACATAGAAATACAAATGTAAACATATCCATATAAATGAATATTCTGTACATTCATATACAGCTTGATAATTCTCTGAATACTTATTTTTATAGATATGTACATGCTCAGCTGTGTGCTTGTTGGTTATGCCACCAGTCTGACAGCCTTGCAAGTTGCCAAATGCCCATACACAGTTACAGTATGCATATGTCTGAGTTAGAGAAGCAGATACTAATTATATCTTGCTTTTACTATGAAACTTCTTTTTTGTGTGTGTGTGCATCAGGCCTCTGCCTTGGCTACTTTGTGTTGTATTACACTTTCATTATGCAAAAACTTCCACAAGGATAATTTATAGATCTTTATGCTCTAAATAGTCAAGATGGGGAGTGGGCACAATGAGCGACCCTGAGATCCTTCTTGTGCTGGTTTAAAGGTAAACCAGCAGGGGAAATGAACCCAACTCAAAAGAGAGATTATAAGTCAGAATAACAATTTAATAAAATAATACAATAAGTACGATTATACACACAAACAATTGGTTTTAATCCACAAAACCCAAATGTCCCCAGAGGTGACACAGTACCAAATAGCCTTATTTTCAGTAACTGAGTATAAGAATGATGAAAAATATGCAATCTGTGTTTCATTTTTTATGAAGGTGATTCTTGTTTTTTTCCCTTTGTCAAATAGATGAAACAGGTTTTTTTTTGTTTGGTTTTTTTTCCCCTTTTACCCCTATAAAACCATAAATATTTTGAATTAAAATAAAAGTCACTATTTTCTCCTCAGTTCTAGGAGGTTTGTTAAGGTGTGTTCTTTTTATTAAAACATTCTTTAGGTGATTGTTGCACACACGTGGACTGTTCAGTTGTGGAGACTGTTACTTTTTCAGTATCAAGCTGTCTTGGTGTCTGCTGAATTGATATTAATCACTTAACACAGCTTAATTAAAAGGTGCAAGCACAGTGGCTTATGCTCTCACCTGTTGTCAGTGGCCTTCTGCAAAGCTGAGAATCTGCTTTCCTGATAAGTTTGTTATTAAAAATAACAGGCACAGAGTTGCTAATTGGAATAAAGCGATTAGTGAAGTTTAATTCTCTGTATTACCTAATGTGATGGTGACATCCAGATGTAGCCTGTGAGTTAAAGGCTGGGCCCTGACTGCTATTTAACAAGGGACAGGATTCATTAGTTGGTTTTGATTGGAGATGACAAAATCGAGCAAAAAATATTAGAGAACTAAGAAGACAAGACCTACAAGGAAAGGTGGATAGTATTATTTAAGAAAAGAGAGGAATTAATGAATACATGATGAATTTTAAAATAAACAAACTTAATTTCAAGAAGAGCACAGAGTGTGTATTTGGTAGTGTGAAATCTGTAGATTAGTTTGCTGACTGTGAACATTATGATTATGAACAGTATTGGTGTTTTCCAAGATGTCCTCCTTTCTACACCTCACCCCTCAGGAAGGGCAAAATTACAGATGTTCATATTGAAATTTGCCCTTCATTTGTTGTTGGGGGAGAAACAAAACAGAACAAAAATAAAACATCCAAATAAAACAATAATAATAACAACAACAAAAAAGTCAAAAAATCCCCACAAAAATTTAAAAACGAATTAAGTTTTCTTCAAAAATATTTTAATATTAAAATCACAAAAATATAATAATACTTCTTAATTGTCTAGCTGTTGATACTTTTCATTTTATGTACAACTTGTGTAATTATTCTTTGCTTTTGAGAGACTGAAAAAATAAATCTCTTCCACCTGTTATCACTCGTATCCACTTCTTCACTATATTTAGTCTGCCTAGAAAAACAAAGCAGAGTACAGCAAATGCACATTATTAATGTAATTCCAGTCCACTTAATGCAGTATTTCAGAGGGATGCTTGAACCATTTGAGGTTTATGAAATAAGGTTTTTTTATGCCAGTGATCCATGGATAAGAACTCACATATGTGTTTTTACTTTCTTTTTTTTTCCTTTTTTTCTTCCCCCATCCCCCCCCCCCAAATCATTTTGTTGGGAACTCAAAACTTAGATAAATCACAGTCAAAGAGTCCTGGATTTGGGAGAATTATCAGGGAAAATGACCAAGAAATAAGAGCTGGTGGATAACCTTATAATAGCCCAAATGTATTTTTACGCTTCATTAGCAGATTGGTGTGTATGTATTTTAAAATTACAGCTTAATCTTGTTTTAATTGTCTGTCTAATAGTGATTTGATGAAAAGCAACCATCTCAAATCAAGGGAAGGCACTGAGACGATATTTCTGCAACCAAGTGCAGCCTGTGTTTTAGTGCTGACTCTGCCAGTAGCATATGAGCTATAGGGTACATATTTGCATTTAATTCTTTTTCATAAGTGATGTATTTATTCAGACAAACAAATACACTGTGATAATGAGTTTGGCCTCAGGAGGAACTGTAAAAAGGCCATTAATAAGCATATGGAATATGGATGGAGTGCAGGATGCAGCCTGAATAGCTAACTGACTATACTAGTGGAAATCCTGAATTCTTGGGAACTTCTCATGTTCTCCTTTGTGGCATTTTTACAACAGATATGAAGATACAAATAGCTTTTTGTAGATGTATGAGGTGACTGTTTAGTTCGAAACCTCCACACTTGCAATTATTTTGATAGTCTGTTGGTCAGGATCTTTGCTTAACAGAAAAAAAAGTCCTGAAATGGTGTGTTTGTTTCTGCGATTTTTTTTTTCCCCTCAAAAGCACTAAATAAATAGGCACTTGCTCTCCTTCATTATTCCTTCATTTGGTTGCTAATGAAAAATGTACCATGTCTTTTTTTGGTACCATTTAAGAAATCTTCTTTCCATTGACCTTTTCAGAAGGCAAGATAATTCAAGTGATAATCTGAAGAGGGAAGCATTGATTTTAAAGACCCTGTTTTTCAAATCAAGTGGCAGCTACTTGTCTCACACTTGTGGGGACCTATTCTGCAGAAGAAAGTGAACTTTCCCACTACCACTGAATTAACTGAAGTTTGTTATTTCTGAGAACTGGCATGTCAAGTACCTGTTCTCCACTCCAGAGACAAACAGCTGAGACCAAAGACAGTGAAGTTACTGTAATTTAAGAATTAATTTAAATGTTTCCAAGGGTTATGTGGGTTTCTCCATTAGAATTAGGGATTGAAGAATTAGAATTAGGGATTGGAGCATCTTTCCTAATACTTAAAGTATATGTTGCCAGGTTTTCTAATTTAGAAATCCATTTGTCTTCAGCTGAAGCTTTGTCTGCACGCAAATTTATTACGTACTTCAAAATTTGCCTGAAACGTTGCTCACTTATGGTATTTGTAGTGTTGCTTTCATGTGGTATGAATTTGTGAATTACACAGTGTGTAATTGTGGAGTAAGGGGTGGGACACATATTATACTTGTATTTGAAACCAACACATTGCCTGAAAATAGCTTTAGTACCGCGAGGTACCTCTGTTATTCGTATTGAATGTTACAGACATTCAGTTTGATCCTTTTACTTTCGATTTCTTCTCTGTCTTCAGACTTCAATTGACAGGAAATAAGTTGCTGCAAATGAGTTTGATCTGTGCTTGTTTGAGGTCCTTCTGTGTGTGATGGATTTTCCATCTGCATTCTTTTTGCACTCTGTTGGGTTTCCTTTGCTTCAAATTGGTGGGAAGGAGCAAGGCAGATACAGTTGTATGGGGTCACTATGCAGAGTAAGGCCATGGAGCATCAGAAGGAAATTCTCAGGTCATTCTGGGTAAAGCACAGGTTAATATCCAACTGGCTCAAAATAAACTGTTTGTGTGATTCAATCAAACAAGGTAAACTGCCTTGGTAAGTTCAGGTTACAATCATGGGACTTCTTAATTTGAAGAGTAAGCGTCAATCTTTTGGTGCTTGTGTCTCCATTAAGACTGAAAGCAGATTCTAAACTGCTAGAAGTTCCAAATTAAAGCTAAGTTATTCATCCTGATTCTTTGGGTAAAATTACTATTGAAATCACCAACAAATTTTTTACAACTGCTTCCCCAGCTCCCATTTTAAAACTTTTCTTTGTAGTAGTGTATAATCATCCAGAGCTTATGTGCTCACCATGGGCACTTTTATCACTGTGATAAAAATTACAAATGGGTTCCCACTTTAAAGTAATCGTGCTATTACTATAATGTTTTTTAAAAATAAAGTTTTAATCAATGTGATGTGATTTACCAGAAAGAAAAAATTTAATGTTCTATCTTTTTCGTGCTCACTGAACTTTGATTTTGTTGTTTTGTTTTGTTTTTTTTTTAACAGTGATTCCAGAGTTTATTAGTCAAGTAAATATTGCATTGGAGAGCTTAAGTAAGAGCACAGTCCACCTGTTTGATGATAACCGGTTTGTGGACATTTCTAAGAAGGTGTATGATGCGATTCACAACATCAGGTGCTCAGTCATGATGATTCGGGTGAGTTTTTAATTTGTTCTTTTAGTATTCATTTCTGAGACAGTTCAGGACATCAGGGCATTCTGAGGAGAATTTAGAACTGTGTATGTGACCAGTGCCCCTAAGCTCATATCCAGGTTGAACTGATCTGGGAAATTTGGATTACCCTGAAACACACGATTGTAACTCCAGAAGTGTAGAATTGCATTGTGTACAAAATCAGAATGTTGCATAAAAATGTCTTTTGTTCTTTAAAAGTAATTAGTTATGTTTAGTTGATAAAAATCTTTATTCTCTTCATTAATTATCAACTTACAGCTACAAACCCAAATCTGCAGTTCTCCAGCTTTAACCTGTGGAATGTAGGAACTTGAGAGTATATTCAGGTGATTCTGATAATCCCTTCTTGGAGTTTTTTCAGCTTCCCATCACATGACTTCACAGCCTGATTTCTGTCAATCTTACACAATTACAATCACTCCACTTACCCTGGTGTTTTTCCTGCAGTTTGAGAAACTGCTTCGGAACCGCTTATTTTTAAAATCCGAAATGGAATTTTGTCAGTCACAGAGTTTCCCCCAAACATCTTCAGTTCATAAATTCCACTCCAAGTGATAAAAAAACTGAGCTGTAATGTATGGAGGTTTGGCAATTTTGTTTTTAAATGAAATTAAGCCTTAATAAAAATACATATAGATTTTTTTTCAGAGGTGGTTTGTCTTCTGCCTTGACTTTTCAGTTGAGACCAAAGTTATTACTCATTTCTTTTCCTTTAAATCCGAAAACATTCTAGGCTGGCATGACCAGCAGGTCATGGGAGGTGGGCCTGCCCCTCACTGCACTTTGGTGAGACCCCACGTGCAGTGCTGCATCCAGCTCTGGGGTCCTCAGCACAGGAGAGACGTGGACCTGTTGGAGTGAGTCCAGAGGAGGGCCACAAAAAAGATCCGAGGGATGGAGCACTTCTCCTGTGAGAAAAGGCTGAGGGAGAGTTGGGGTTCTGATGTGGAAAATATTAGTCTTAACATATTGTGTAAGTTGAAATGTTTCACTAGGAATTTCGATGTGCAAAATGATTAAAATGTGTCATCTTTATTGCAGTTGTCAATTAGGAAATTGTTTATATACTAAGGAAAGATCCTGAAACATCCAACATCTTGCCCATACTAGTAAAAGTTTATGTGAGCTGGATTTACATGGCAAAACAAACCAGAGTGAGGCTTATCCTCTGATTAGTTCCTGTTTCGGTGAACATAGGCTAAGAGGATGTCTGATTTTTTTTCTAGATAGTTAAACCTCATTTAATGCCTGCATTGCTCATCCCACCTTCCCTTAGTGTATCAGGGACTCCTGCTTTTTTTTATGATTACAGAGTTGCTTCTGTCTGTTCCTCAGTGAGATCTGAATCTTCTGTATGTTCAGTCTTCTTGGGCTTGACCTCCAGCTGATTGTGGTTGACTATTCCTTTATGGATTTTTTAATTTTTGGGAAATTGGGAAATGCACTGAGGAGCATAACAAAGCTTCAGTCAACTTCTATGAAGTCGCAGGCACAGCTCTGCAGGAAACTGTATTTTCTTAGTCCTTTGTGATGTGTGTGTGTGAACGGTAACTCGGAAAAGGATACTGTATCCCCTGTGCTTCTATCTGAAGTAGGAGGGTTAAATAGTGAACTCTGAAGAAACTGTAGATACAGTGCCCAGTGCACATGCACTGTGTGAATGCAGGGTGCATCCCTAAAATCATGAGTTCATTGCACACCAAAATGGACACTATTAATATGAAGATTTCTGTCAGTACCATCTTGTGCTTCTGCTTTGCAAGTCCTGACAAAAGCTCAGGAGGTTAAAAAAAAAAGAAAAATCATTAAAAGGGGCATGTGCAGCTTTGTGCTTAATGAATACCATTATTCAGGCACAGTCATGAGAGGGTTTTTTTGAGGTTTGGTGGAATGTTAGCTGGTTCCTCCACCACCCCTTAGAGACACTGACTGCCAGCGCAGAGAAAGAGCGGAGGAAACCCTGGCATTCGTTTTCTGAGTAAGGATGTATTTGCATTCCTAATTAGATACATTCCAGACAATGCCAGTTTCCTTTCAGTGCCTGTAAGAAGCTTTAGTAAGTCTGATGGTTATTCAGACATACTCTGTTGGCACAGCAGCCAAGGTGAGGAAATAGAAGTGTCCTGTGGCCAACTTACGGGGGCTTGCAGGTGGTGCCAGAGAACAATGGGTCGCTGATTACAGGGGATTACAAAGCTGAATCAGGATAAGAAATTGTTGATCAAAATATAATTAAGAAATGTAAATGAACCAAGGCCACTCATTCATGGGGGTGGGGGGAGGGGGCAATTTTTCAACATCAAAGTAAAAGCAGAAACTCTCTAGATCAGTTGCTCAGGAAGCATTTCAAGCATGTATTTACACAGAGAGAATGTTTTTAAGAATAGAGTTCCTAACTGTAAAATGCTGCCCAATACTGGTGTTAATGCAGATTATCAGCTATGCATTGCTATGTTCAAGCTTAACTGTAGGTACATAAAACATTCATTTTGGTCCTGCAGGTATAATGGGAGTAACACTTGAGAGCAGCTAAATAGTGGAGGGTGTGTTGTACTGCTGAGCTGTAATGGGAATGCCTCTGGAACTGCACGATGCTTCCCTTAAGATGTTTCCGTTGTTTCACTAGCAAGGATTACTTAATTCAAGGGTAGCTGTTGATTTGAAACCACTGGATAGGTGATCCAGGGCATATCCACATTCCTCAGTCATTTTTCGACTCATTAGACATCTGATTTTTGTTAGATTATAGAGACTTTGTCACCTTGATTTTGCACAGGAACATTTGGACTCTATCTGGATAGCATTTTAGTCAGGATATTGATGTTATGGACATAGATTAAGATAGTACTATTAAAGGCAAGAATTCTGCCATGTGAAATATATAGCAAAGTCAAAGGAAACAGGTAGACAGTTTTTGAGGCAATACATACTGAATGCTTAATTAAAGATTAATGCATAATTAAAGATTAATCCTAGAACATCTTAAAGAAAAAAAAGAGCTTCTGTATGAAGTTGTTTTTAGTTGAAGAATATGAGACAGCTGGATTGTAGTAACAGCTAGTAATATCCCATTAGGATATTAAACATGGTGAAAAGTAGTGACTTCAAATGAATAACAACTACTCATAGCTGAAGCAGTAATAAAGTCATCCTAACAGAAATATACCAAGAACAGTGGAAAAGAATTCACCGACTCAAAAGTTTCACCAAATTCTTTGTTTTTATTGGAGGATAAACAAGTGAACAACTGTAAGTTTTTCAGAGACAAAGAAGAGGGCAAAAGGTCTGTATACTCTCTGAAAAATGCTTTTACTACACTTATGTTCATGGAAGCAGTGAACCCATGTTCCATATTTTTAGGAGAGATGGAAAATGTATGTTGAGACTGCAGTTCTTATCTGATACAGTGCATCATTATCTACTGAATGTGTATTCCATCTGCTGTTTCTTTCAGAATTCTGCCCTGAGGACTGTAGGTTCCCTCGAGAGTTTATGGTGTCAGATTTTCTGAGTTTGTTTTGCACAGCCGTTCTCTGCACTGTTTGTGCATGATCTCCACCCCCCTGAAAACTGAGGCAAAGCATTCATTTTGCTTTTCTGTCTTACCTCGATACTTTCATTTCAACTAGATCTTCACTACATCCGCAACCCATTCCCTGTATTTCTATTTCTTTAGCTAATAGTCTTCTACTGTAGTTTTTAATTTCCTTTGAAAAGTCAAGCTCAGTTTAGCTACACATTCAGATGTCTACAGCGTAATGCTTTTCAAAATGTTTTGGCCTCCTGAGAATACTCTTGGAGGAGGTTCCCTTTTTCTTCTTTTTTTTTGGTTGCAAATTCTTGGTGTTTTTTCATTCTGCTTTAAAGAAATGTAAGAGTTCATCCTTAGTAGAGGTTTTGAGCTCTTTGATACATTTGATTTCTCTCAATAAGACATCACAGCAGACTACATTCTCTTACACCCAGCAGAATCAGAGGAATTTTCAGAACATGGACCTCTTGGAAAGGAAGACAGCAAGTGGTGAAAGCCCTTCAGCCAGTGTCTAGTTTAAATTCTACCTTGGCTTTTATTAATGCCAGAATTATCCTACACATGCAGAGTTTTCTGCCTGTTTTCACTTCTGTAGTACAAACGAGTTAGATCCTGTCAGATGCAGGCAATAGGAGCCATGAATCGGATCTCTATTTAAAAGTTAGAGAAAACAAAGCAAAGCAGGGAAGCATTTGAGGGGGAAAAAGACATTTACTGCATCTTTTAATTGTTTGTTTTTCCAAAAAAGCCCTGAGGCCTCATGGGAGAGAAAGACAAGGAACAGTTCAAACAGCCTTGGTAAACTTCATTGTGGTTGGTCTGAAATTTGTGAGTGATGCTAACCCATTACAAATATATATTGGGAAGTTTGATAAATGCCCTTTTCTTCATTTTTTTTTCCTATCCTACACCAATTGCACAAGGGGCAGAACTTCTGCAGCAATAGTTTTCCACTCAGACCTGCACCTCTCAGCACTTTCTGGTCATTTCTGACCTTTCCTTCCTCAACTACTTGTCAGCTTAAGTTCTGTCATCCAGAGATTGATACATCTAGAAACAGTGTGACTGGAAAAAAATATAGTATGTGATGTCTTTAAAAAATAGTGTAGAAGAAATACCTGTTGTCTGTTAGGGATAGTTGGGCACATGTTCCTTTTTCAGATTTTTATCCTGAGTCACATAAAAGGTATTAGTGGGGAATGTTACGTTTGTGCTGCAGAACCCAAATTAGAGGTGAGTTGAGACTGTTTAGTGCCAAGATCAAATATGCATACTTTCAAGTAAAAGCTTCTGACAGCTACTTGTCCCTGCCATATTACTTGGCTTTTTAACATCTCAAGTCAAGATCACCAACCTTGATGTACCATTATTGGGAAAACTTAACTCAAAGTACTATCCCACATAGGTTATTTTTCATATCTTAGTTCAT